CCAACCTAGACTTTCCCTCCTTCAGTTTGAACCCATTACCCCTTGTCCTGTCCCTGCAGTTCCTAACACAGAGTCCCTCTCTGGCTCCTTGTAGCCCCTTCAGAGATTGAAAAGTTGCTCTGAGGTCTCCACACAGTCTTCTCTTCTCCAGGCTGAACAGCCCCAACTCTCTCAGCCTGTCCTCATAGGGGAGATGCTCCAGTCCTCTGAGCAACTTCGTGGCCTCCTCTGGACTTGCTCCAACAGTTCCATGTCCTTCTTATGTTGAGGGCACCAGAACTGTGTGCAGTATTCCAGGTGGGTCTCAAGAGAGCAGAGGGGAAGAATCACTTCTTTTGACCTGCTGCCCACACTCCTTTGGCTGCAGCCCAGGATTTGATTTGCTTTCTGGGCTTTATTTAGCAGGAAAGTCAGTGAGAGCTTGAGATATCTACTTTGACATGATGTAAAAAAAAACATTAATAAAGAACACAAAACTAAATGACCCTCAAAATTTTATTCCTCACTCTCCAGGACTCAAAAAAATAATGATTTCATTTTAAAGCTGAATATTAACATGTCCCTCTCCCAGCTGCACCACCAGGTAAGGAAGGGACTGAGGCTCAACAAAGGATTTGACAGAGCACTACAGACCTGCAGCGTACTGGGCTCAGAATCCTTGCAGAGGAAATGGCATGCATATTAACAGCAGCTGAAAGAAAGATTAAAGTCAGCTACTGCTTCCCGAGGGACTCCAGTGCCTTCTCAGCACAGAACCCTGGACTCATATCCCTCCTAGTTTTTGCCCTTGGTGTCATCTTCAAGAGTCCAAATGACATAAAACAAAAGCCAACGATAATGCACATTAGTCACACAGATTTCTTCGTATCCCTCTAAATCGCAACCTTGCCCTGATTCTGGCCCCTGAAAACTGTCAGCTTGATGCTTTTAGAAAATAACCTGGGTGTTTTAAACAAAGATTCCTTTTAAAGCAATGCTATCAAAGCCAGTGGAAAAGTTTGGTTTTCACATAGTGCTCATCACTAGCTCATTCAGTGGTAATTCCTGGAAAGGTTCCCAGTAGCTGCATCCAGCTCACTGCCCAAATCCATACAGATGCTTTGTGCCAAAATGAATGTATGCAGCTACTGCTTATAGGGAAGCTTTCAGAATAAAAATAGTGGCAGTGATTCTCCTACTACTCTATTTTGTACTACCATCCATTTTTTGTTGCTTGTGATTTATTAGTCTGCCAGAAATACATTCCATTTTGGCCAGAGATCTTATTCGATTTCTCAGTCTAAGAAGGATAGCATGATTTAATATTGGTAAGGGACAGATCCAAAGAAAAACACATTGGCAGTGAAGAGGTGGGATGCTTCTCTGTGGACAAGTCATTCCCATGACTGCTAGTCAGCCCTGAAGAAAAATATTTTTGGACAAAGCGTCTCCTAAATGAAAAGTTTTAAACTTTGTAGTTTTACTAAAAGTCCTGTAAGAAAAACCAAGAGAAAATGAAAGGAATTTTGTTTCCAAGTTAAGTTCCCCAAATGACACAAACAGCACAGCTAAAACACCTTCCAGTCTCACCTCTCCAGAGCTCTTTCTGCCTCACAGCCCCAACTATTCTGTGCCATCAGAGCAGCTCATTCTCCATGAAGCCAGAAAGACAGAGAAGCACTTCGTTCTACAAAACATACTCAGACATTTAGGCATTAAATTTAGTAGACTATACTAAGTCTATTAAGCAGTATTAAGTCACGTACTTTGAGTGTTACCACTAACTTCAGGAACGGATTAATCACAACTCGAAATTTTTTTGAACTTAATGAACAGAAAAATCATCAGCGTTTCCACACTACCATGGCAACACTGTAAGAATGAAACACTGAGTATCCTCTACATATGACAGAAAACCCAACCCATGAGTACTCCTCCTGCCTCCCAGAGCCCCATCCACCCCTCATTCCCCCCAGCCCCATACAGGGACAGCCTGTGCTGGTACTATAAGCAAAAAGCACAATGTAAACACAAAGCCCATTAAAAGACAAGTGATGCTTCACACACACAGTTTGGAAAACACCACCAGTTTGAAGAGCAGCTTTGAATGTGGCCAGCAGTGGGTAGCTCTCCTGTTAAGTTATAGTATTCCTCCTACAAAGGAATGATGAAAACTAAACTGGTCAAAACGGGTGTGGAAGAACTCTAGAGACAATTTCAGCCTAGTGAAATATGCAGTTCAACAGAGTCATTTTTTTAAAGAATACCAGAGACATTAAGCACTGAAAAACAGTTCTGAGACAGACTAAGATCACCTGCTAGTAGAAGGCCAAAGTTTTCAACAGCAAAAATGCAACCTTGGCCATGCACCAAACAGTATTTTTAATGGACAAAACCCCATGGACTCAGAGCAATAATCCCCATGTAGATTATTTCTATTACTGCTGTAATCAAAAATACTTTGTAAGGACAAAGTGCTGCATAAGTATGTCTTCATGAACTTCATACTTGGGAACTGTGGTCCTCACTTTTCAGGGTGACAGCCATCTGCCTCGAGCCAAGACAGAGGCAAACAATGCTTGCTTTCAGTCTTGCACTCAAACCTTCAGAGGAGGCCAAAGGTTCTGCTTTAACTTTTTAAGAACATCACAATCTAAATACCTGCTCCGTTTCTTGCCTCTTTCTGATAGTGGGGAAGAAGTTGTCTAGCTGTAACAGTTTTCTCCAGTGTCTCAAGTCAA